TGGATGCAATGGTGGGGAAGGTATTATTTATTATCTGTGTGCAATGGATGTCAATGTTAATACAGTTTAATACATACTTCTTGTTTTAGAATAATAATTACTATTCTTATTTTAACAAAATGATTCAAAGTGGGAAGGTTGATACACAAATTGTTAGCTTTTTATGTTATATTGGTAGCCTAATATAAAATTGAAGACCATATTTCATATCCGATGGCATTGATTCATGTTCAATAAAAATAATTACTCCTCAATGAAAGATGAGGACAGGAAAAAATGGAAGGGTCACGAAGGGTTAACATGTAAATTGGCGTCGCGCTTCGTGTTAATATCGGACCGTGTGGGTGCACAGGATAGATGACAATCAAGGGGATACGTGTCTTACACGGTCGTAAGTGAGACATATTACTCCTCTTACGTGAACGTAATCGAGACGTAAATACGTACCTACGTACCGTGATGCAATCATGCAAACGCGCTCGTAAAGTCGGCGGACAACTTTTTTTCAATCACGCCCGTCGGATACCGTCGCCGCAGTTTTATTTCTTGCCAACTTTTATCCGAATGTTGTCGCATTAAAAGTTTCAGTCTATCGCTAGCAGCGAACGAGGGAACGGTTTCAATTATGTGGTCAGATGATAAAGCGTTTTAAGTGGATTCAGTCGTTTACGAATTATTTACTATTATTATATTGTTTGATATATATGTATAATATTTTTATTATAATGTATGTTTTGTGTAATAAGCTTTAGCTGTGGCAAAAGGTAATTTCCATTAATTAGTATAAAAAGAATGGGACGTCTTATCAATCATATTATCTCGATTAAATATGTTTTAATATCTGATCATGAAATAATTGCAATAAATATAAGAGACAAGAATTGGTTTTGACTTAAGTTATACCTGCATTCAATTTGCATAGAATTTCAATCAAGTACGCATTGAAATCTTGAAAACATGTTTGCAAATCTTAATTTTTATGCTACAGGAGAAACATAGAAGCACGTATGAAGTCCTGATGTTGAGGAATGTTTGAAAGTTTTATTGCAGAGAAAGGTGGAAAAAATATGGAAACGCGGTTGGTTTCGAGTATCCCTTAAAAGGGGTCTTGTAGTTGTGAAACAGGGCCGATGATCAGTGGAACAGTTTCTGAAAGTTCCGCTATTCTTCTTATCGTTGCGAGCCCGGGCCGGCTTTTAAGTCCTCGCCTCCCTCGTTTTTATCCTTCGAGCTCGCCAAGGGCTGCCGCAAATTTCGACTCGGATGCAGGTGTATCAAGGCTCGTTCATCTCAATATTGGAAAAGTTGCCCCGAATAAATGAGGTTTCCCACGGAACAGGAATTCCCCTCGTCGGATTGCAAGTGGCGACGAGTTTCTTTTTGACCAACTTCGTCATCGTTTTCTACTCCTCTTCTTCTTCTTCTTCTTCTCCTTCTTCTTCTTCTTCTTCGCTTTTTACGTACGACTCTTTGGCGGAGTTTGCGGACAATGCCTCGGCGCGCTTTGTCCTCTTTCGGCTGGGAAAGATGAAAATCTGATTGAGGTAACACGTCCTACATTCGTGAATTAATTGCAAAACGGCGAACCTCTCTGATAAGCTCCTACGTAAAAGGACGTCCTTCGGTTCAGAATACGTTTATTATAAGTTCACTTGGCAAACTGCGAACAGGCTTGAAAATTCATAGGACAAATGATAATTAAGGATTATATAGAATCTCATCGTGAAGGGTTACTTCGGGTTAGTTTGCGTCGTCATTGAAATATTTTTTCCTAGAGAGAACGAGGGCGCGAACAAGTTTCTTAACTCGGGCGGGGAATGCGATGGTTTAAATCAATTCGGAAACTTTCCGCCGGACTTCGAAAGAAATTTACAGCTCGCGCCGCTGCTGTGGACATGGACTTTGAAAATTCTCGCGTTACACCCGCGTGCAAAGGAAAATATAACTAAAAAGTGAAGAAAGAGAGAGAGAGGAAAAAAATAGAAGAGAAGTGGAATAAGCAAGATTAATTTCCATCGTGCGCCGAGAAATTCGTTCGAATTCCCAGGCTCTCCGCGCTGGAGTTCCTTTTCTTTTTGGAAAAAATACAAAGGTGCACCGGGATAAGACGAGTCTTCGCGTAATGAAACTCATATCCTCTGCAATTTCCACTTTTTTTTTGTCAAAACGATTAATCCAACAATTTGTTCGTTCGTTTCCTTCTTTCATTCGCCGATTCGTCGCTACGGAGTTTAAACATCTTGCATGATCCCAGATTTATCGGCTGGTAAACATTTTAATAAGATTCCGCAGCGAATACGCTGCTACTGCTATCTACGCTCTATCTGCTATCGCTGGAGATTCGCTCGTTTTTCCTCTTTTCCCGTCTGTCGTTTGTATCGTGACCGCACCTTTCGTGTACGTGGATTATATACGGAAGTCGGTCTTATTAACATTTCTGTCAGGTGGACGAGATAAGAGTTAATCGCCGGAACGTGGGTTCAGGGAGTCTATAATTACATACATAGTTCGGTCTCTCTCTTTTTTGATAATTCGTTTCACAATTTATTGACAATTTCTTTCTGATAATCTTTGGCAGCTGACATTAATTTGAACCCGTGATCAAAAATTTGCTTATAGAGATTGAAAGCACACTGTCATTCAATTGACTGTCACAATATAATAAATGATATGCAATGATATAATGAATAATAATAAATAAACAATGATAATAAATTTATTGTAAAATACAATACAAACGGCAAAGAGAAAAGAGAAATATAGAAATGAAAACAATTAAAGTAACTTAAATCATTTTTTATCTGAAAAAGGAGTCTTCAAAGATCACCGGCAAAAATAAGAAAAACTAGAAGACAAAGTAAAATAATTAAATTGAACTTAACAATTTGAGTTCGGGGTTAAATATTCCAATCTGCAGAAGTATTAACCGAGTCACCATATAAATACACCAATTCTATATAACACCACGTACGAGGTGTTTGAATCCTAACAGTAGATTTTCTTTCTGTAGAATTTATTTTTTATTCGTTGCACGCAATCTCAGTTTGTCTCGGGTTTCACCGTAGCGTTCCCTGCGTTTCCACGCTTGTTCGTCTTAATATCGTCGCCCACCGCGGGCGGACAGCTCGGGATCTAATCAAACGTAGGAACACGGCCAGGCCAAGGGGTGTTATCCTCGACTAAATGGAGATATAACTGCGTTCGAGGGCGTAACCGCGCAGCAGCGAGAATACGTGCCCGACAAGGCGAGCGCATGGCGATTTCCCTTTCCGTGTACCGCCTGAACTGATAAATTTATTTCGCCACCGTACCAGCGACGGTCGTCGATGAAACGCGTCTCCCGGAAACGATCTTCGCAGCGTGCTTCCGACCCTTGACCCGATGCTTGCCGTGTTAAATGATGTTTCGCGGGGCAACGACGACGTTCTCCGGTATTTGGACAGCGGGATTGTATCTCACCGGGTTTATCCTCTAGACTGGGATTAAGGATCAAGATATCCGCACGAACTTCATTTCATCTCGTTGATCCTATTTTCTAAACATTCTTTCGTAATAGTCACTTTCTACAATTATTATTCTTTTGACATTAAATGAAAACTGCATTATAGTAAGTGTCTCGTCAGTTTCTGCTCACTGCCTTCTTTTTCTGTAATTTTCAATTTTAATCCAGTGAGTAGAAACTGTATGGTGAATTGGAATATTTAATTTGAATTTATTTATTATGCAGCATAGTTTGTCTGTACGGTTTGGTCTTGGTTATTAATAAATCAAAATTCACGTCCCCTTAGACCTCTTTATTGAATTCTTGAATTTTAACCAAATATATAAAAATATTCTATGATACAATAAACGAATTGTTATTTCAGATAAGAATTCTTATTAATTTATTTGCACTAAATAAAACAGATTTAAGAGGATATAGGAGGCTATAAATAAATTCTTTCGACTCTGTAGAATAAGTATTTTCACATTGCGTTACAACAGACTCTGAAGTAATTGTCAACTAATTTCTCATTCGTTTCCGGCAATAATCTGCGGATCCCCTTTTTATCTCCGTGTTCCCAATTGCTTTAAAACTACTTACTGCCGGCTGCGATGATCAGATAACGCATTGTAATTTCGCTGTGTTCGGGGAGCTCGTAAGAAATTCGTTTCCGAATGCAACGTGACACGCGGTAACAACGCAATTCCCCGAGTGTAGTCGCGTTAAATCGCGAACGGATTCGTAAATCTTAGCGTAGCTGTCTTCGGCCGGGACACGGCTGATAACGAGAGAAATATTCTGAACGCACACACCGGTGTTACCCGGCACCGGTGACGCTTAATTTAATCTAGGCGAGAGGAGATACCGGGGAAAACGGTCTCCCTCGCTCGGACGTTCCGCCGTGGAAGCAGCTGCTTCTGAAAACTCTTCTATCTTCGCTAAAAAAAGAACACACGTTCGGGAGCACGAATTTTGTTAAATTCACGCTCCGTGTCCGTCCCTAGGATAGATAC